TAAAGTAGGTGTATTTTAGTTTCTTCTAATTACCTCCTCCACCTGAAAAATAGTCCCTTCTACATCCATTATTTTGTTTTCTTAAATCAAGCAAAATGAGAACAGCACTGTGTAAATTATAATCTATATAACTATACTGGGTCAATGACTTTTAAAACTTTTAACTTATCTAAGGAATACATTTTATATCATGACCCAGCATGTGCGCGCACACACACACACACACTCACAGTTGAACTGAAGCTTCAGGAAACATTTACCCTTATTACTTATAATAGAATTTTTCTGTTTTTCTTACTTGACCCAACTTAAAGCTCATGATATTTCATATTCCATTGCTTTAAAATGCTAATCACAACCTGCTAAATTGATAACATCTAATGGATTGTAGCATACCATTTGAAACACAGTACTATGCATTCCTTAAGGTTTTTTAGAAATACTGGATTTGGACTGTGTTGTGATACAGTGTAAGAACTGTAGGACCATGAAATATCTTTATATTGCTTTATATGTGCTATTCCAAAGATGCCTTTTCTCATATAACAAATATATATTGAACACCTATTTGTGCAAGGCCTCATACTAGAAACTTGAGGTGAACAATCTGGTAATTCTTTTTTTTTTTTTTTTTTTTTTTTTTTTTTTTTTTTTTTGAGGCGGAGTCTTGCTCTGTCACCCAGGCTGGAGTGCAGTGGCACTATCTCGGCTCACTGCAAGCTCCGCCTCCTGGGTTCACGCCATTCTCCTGCCTCAGCCTCAGCCTCCCGAGTAGCCGGGACTACAGGCGCCCGCACAATCTGGTAATTCTTTTATATATTTTCTTCTTAAGAATTGAAAGGGGCCGGGCGTGGTGGCTCAAGCCTGTAATCCCAGCACTTTGGGAGGCCGAGACAGGCGGATCACGAGGTCAGGAGATCGAGACCATCCTGGCTAACACGGTGAAACCCCGTCTCTACTAAAAAATACAAAAAGTTAGCCGGGCGAGGTGGCGGGCGCCTGTAGTCCCAGTTACCCGGGAGGCTGAGACAGGAGAATGGCGTGAACCTGAGAGGCGGAGCTTGCTGTGAGCTGAGATCCCGCCACTGCACTCCAGCCTGGGCGACAGAGCCAGACTCCCTCTCAAAAAAAAAAAAAAGAATTGAAAGGGATTTAAACACATATGCTTATGTTACCAAAATTCCATGTAGTCACACAGGATAGACATTATCAATGATTTGGAGCTGGAGACACCAAATCAGAAAGCACATACATGGCTAGGTGTGGTGGTTCACACCTGTAATCCCAACACTTTGGGAAGCAGAGGTGGGAGGGGAGAGGATTGCTTGAGCCCGGGAGCTCGAAACCAGCCTGAGCAAAATAGCAAGACCCCATTTCTACAAAACATGAAAAATTGGGAGGCGCCATGGCTCATGCCTGCAATCCCAGCATTTTGGGAGGCCGAGGCGGGCGGATCACGAGGTCAGGAGATCCAGACCATCCTGGCTAATGCGGTGAAACCCCATCTCTACTAAAAATACAAGAAATTCGCCAGGCATGGTGGTGGGCGTCTGTAGTCCCAGCTACCCGGGAGGCTGAGGTAGGAGAATGATGTGAACCCGGGAGGCGGAGCTTGCAGTGAGCAGAGACTGCGCCACTGCAGTCCAGCCTGGGCAACAGAGCAAGACTCCGTCTCAAAAAAAAAAAAAAAAAAGGCTGTGTACAGTGGCTCATGCCTGTAATCCCAACACTTTGGGAGGCTGAGGCGGGCGGATCACGAGGTCAGGGGATCCAGACCATCGTGGCTAACAAGGTGAAACCCTGTCTCTAAAAATACAAAAACTTAGCCAGGTGTCGTGGCATGTGCCTGTAATCCCAGCTACTTGGGAGGCTGAGGCAGGAGAATTGTTTGAACCCGGGAGGCAGAGGTTGCAGTGAGCCGAGATTGCATCACTGCACTCTCACCTGGGCGACGGAGCAAGACTCCCTCTCAAAAAGAAAAAAACATAAAAAATTATTAAATATCTGGCCATGGTGACCCATGCCTGTAGTCCCAACTACTCTGGGGGCTGAGGTGGGAGGACTGCTTGAGCCCAGGAAGTCCAGGCTGCAGTGAGCCGATTGTGCCACTGTACTGTAGCCTGGGCAATTGAGCAAGAACCTATCTCAGGAAAAAAAAAAAAAAAAAAAAAAAAAAAACAAAGAAAAGAAAGCACATACATACTTGCCCACAGTCATACCATTAAATCGATGGAAGGACCAAATTTTCCCAACCTCCATTCTAAAAATATAAGGTATTTTAAAACAACTTCAAAATAATATTTTCTATATTAAAATAAATGCCCTTTTTGCATAGAAACAATCACAAAAATATTTCCTCTCCCCAAGCCTTGTAGCACATCAACTGTATCACCCTCTCCCCTCCATAGACTCCTCAGAAAGTTTATTTCTTTGCCTGAATAATTAGTAAAGAAAGGGTGGGTGGGTGGATGAATTAAGCACCAAAGAAGATTAAGTTAAAAACAGTGATTTATTCAAATAGATGCTGCTGCTAACCAACACTTAAAAGCAGTGTGAAGTTACACTTGCCCTACGAAGGACTCGACGGAGGTCCAAAACTCATCTGAAAAGATATGTGAAACATACTGATACTGGTAACATCTGAAGAACAATAATTTTTTAAAAATCTTCATGTCCTAACTTCCTTACTTAAATGCACACTAATATTATTGATTCATTTAAGTCAAAAGCAACAAACTCAATCTGATTCAAGCAAAAATCTGACCACTACTCCATCTCCTCCCCACTCTCAAACAAAATTATGAATTAGCCATTGTACATTTTATTCCCAGTCTTCTCCCTATGCTGCAAAATGCTTCTAGCCTGCTGCTCTTGATATAAAACAAAGTCTGCGGAGATATTTCACCATTTTGTCTCCCCATATGGGTATTAATTGTATTTTGTTATGTTACCTCCAACATCTAAAATAACCGTAACAGCATGAAGCAATAAAAAGAATGTGAATGTGAGTCTAATTTCCCCTCCCCACACTCTATTATAGACTTCCCACTTCTCTTTAGACTTGTCTCACACCTCGGGCTAAATCTTTTCTCTGCAACCAAAATGCTTAATAATTAAGTGAAAGATACACCAATGTGATATAGCCACACAATAGAGTAACTATTATTTACTTGCTGACTTAGAAAGAAATTCATCCTACATTGTACAAAAAAAGTATATTATTTTTAAAACATATGTATATATGCACAAAGCAAAAAAAGTATAGAATGGGTTTAGTAACTCATTGTCTTAACAAATATTAATTGGGTACCTATTATGAGCTAGACACAGTTGTAAATGCCCAGGTTACATAAATGAACAAAATGAAGTCCTTGCCTCCATGGAGTTTATATTCTAAGAAACATGAGAGAAAACAAAATAAGTTAACATACCATTTAAAGTTGAGTATATCAGAACTACAAAGAAAAGTAAAATGGCTAAGCATGCTGAGGCCTAGTATTTTAGGAAGGTGGTCAAAGATGACTTCCCTTAAGAAGTAACATTTAAATGTACACTTGAATGCTGTTTGGGAGGGAACCATGACGTTATCTGTGGGTGAGAGTGGTGGCAGGTAGAGGAATATCATGTTTGAAGTTACTGAGGCAAAAGCATGCTTGGTATGTCCTAGGAAGGACAAGTCAGTATGACTGAACAGGAATTGGGGAGGAGGAGGGTGGTAAGAAATGAGGTCAGGAGGCATCCAGGGGCACAATAGGGCTTTGAAGGCCACAGTGGGAACTTTGGATTTTAAGTAGAAATGGGAAGTCACTAGAGAGTGTGGGGAGGGGAGATCAGATTCACATTTATCTACTAAAATATCAACAGTAGTTATCCCTGGGCAGAAAGATTTCAGACTTTTTCCCATTGTGCTTCTCTATATTCTCATTGTTTCTCCTGGTTTGTTGTTGTTGTTACTGTTTTGACACAGGATCTTGCTCTGTCGCCCAGGCTGGAGTGCAGTAGTGCAATCACTGCACTGTAAGTGGCTCACTGTAGCCTCCACTTCCCAGGCTCAAGCAGTACTCCTGCCTCAGCCCCTGAGTAGCTAAGACTACATGAGCAATACCAGTTCCCTAAACAAAAGTTCTTCAGAATCATTCAGGGCTTTCAATTATGGGAGAAAAATGGTTTCAATTAACTATATATTTTTTGGTCTGTTTCATTACATCATGCTCCCTTTTCAGGTAGATACTTCTATAAGAGAAAGGGGAAAAAATGGTAACTACATTAATAGCTACTCAGCTCAAAGTGTTTGGTTAAAAACAGAATATTGTTTACATTTAAACCAAAACTGTGTGTGAGAGGCTCCTATGTAAGCTGCTAACACTTTGGGCTTCCAAGGCATAACTAAATGAGATAAGACAGATTTCTATAAATTCAAAATAAGTAATATGGTCAATAAAAAAGCAGACTTGAGTCTCTGCAGTCTATGTAACTCCAGAGCCAAAATCATACGTGTTTCTTGAAAACTAATGAGACCTAAGTTATCTATCATTAACTACCTGAAATAATGTTTAAATTACTTTTTAATTCATATATTTGCTTAAAGTAAACCCAAAGACACCCTGATACAAGTTTGCAAGTTTTTAGTACCTTTAGTGATGCCCTCTGTGCTAATGTCCAAATTAAGATTAACTGAAAATATAAATACTGAGGCTTGACTTCTTAAAAATCAACAGTCTACTGTTGATTTTTAAATGTGGCTGCTACCCATTTCAGATTATCAGTTTACTGCTGATTTTTAAGAAGTCAAGCCTTAGTTCTCCAATCTATCTCTGCACTCAGACTCTCCTACCCTAGGTACCAAATGAGAGGCACTATTGGGTAACCTTCAGTTTTTCTCTTTTGAAAAAGTTATCTGGAATTGAAACAAAACCAAAATTTTCTTAAGATTCCTTTTAACTATTTATCATTTATTAAATGCACAACCAACATTAAAGAAAAAAGCTTGTAATACTTTGTAGGTAGAAATAATATATTTTATTTCATCCCTGAAAAAAACAAAAACAAAAACAAAAATTCCACATCTAATAGGAGAGACTAAACAATTATTCCAAACTTCTACCTGGCAATGGCATATAATTAATTTCTTCACATAAAGGTAGAGAGTACAGAGAAGAGAACAGAGATTTGGAAATCTGTCTTTCATGAAACAATATTTCACATATTTTAATAAAATATTATAATTATTGCTACTACATGTGGTAGCATATTATAATAATGAACAATACAATATCTAAACTAAATTCTATACAGTCTAAATCTAGAAGCTAGCTGCACTTAAGCAGTTATTATAGAGAATAAATACTATGAAATATAGGGCACCATGTGGCAATTAGATTTGCTACAAGGGAAATTTAAATAAAAGTATAATTTGTTTTATACCAGAATTACCCAAGATTAGGGTTCCCTGTACTATATACAGCTTTTTTCCTGAAAAGATAGTCAATCTTCATAGTTTATACTTTAAATGTTCTTAATTAAGTGGCCATTATATAAAATGAATATCTAATGTATCTGTTATACAAATTCAAAATTTCATAAAGGATACTCTTATATAATATAATGTTAACATTTTCCAAGCAATTTAATGCAGCACAAAAGTACCTTTATTATATACATCTGGCTAAAGTCCTCAAGAGTTCGTCTCCCAAGTCCCTTCCTCCTGGACAAAAGCAAAATTAACCCAAATATGGAAATAATGTGCTTTCCTGATAGCATCACTCAAAGGGTTAAACTTTTAAAAGAACATTCATGTATGTGAAAAATCATGAATAATTTAGTTATTGTTACTCTCATCATAAAAATATCTTTCATTCTTCAGAATATAAGAAAAATTTAAGTATGAGATTAGAGTTTACAACTATTTTAATGCTGTTATTAAATTGCCCCAATGTTTATGATAGGTAATGGACAGTGGCTGCTACCCATTTCAAGATTATACTCTTGTAAGTGTAATTTTTAAAAATAAACAATAATTAACCTTCGGTTATTCTGAAGGATAGTGCAAATGAATACATTCTTTGGGTCAAGATTTCAAAACATTACTTCCAACATTATATTTCCTTTCTCTGCTCATAATTGGAATAACAAAATATAGTACTAGAAATAAGCACATTTTCAAATAGCCTTAGTCTAACAGTTACATCAATTGAGAACAAATGACAGAATGATTAAATATTCTCCACTTGTCCAAAAAACATGTTATATACTTAAATAAATATGTTATAGAAATGAATCCATGTTTTTCAGAGTTTTCATTTCAGCTTGATCTCAAACACAAAAGATTTATACAAAACTCACCTACCTGCTTATCACATCAACCAAATTACCAAATTCCCTTTAAGGACATAGTACAGCATTGAACAGACTTGCCTGAAAGCAAACAAATAACTTTAAAATTTTTATGTACAGAATTAGAGTTCCATGAATCCAGCATACTCCTTGAAAATGTGTAGAGCTTTTATTGTAAAGTATTACTCTGTCCTAGCCAGCGATTATAAAGCTTTTCTGCCATAGGATAAAATCCACAGTGGATGGAGCAGCACAAGGTGATTTTCAACTGCTATCTGATACTGCCTGAGACATTCGTTCTTTTATTTGTGGTTACTGGCACCAAATTCCCACTAGTACCATTGGTGGTGTTGGTTGCTGAGCCATTCACAACAATATAGTCAACTTTGTTCTCCAGCTTCACCAGTCGTTGCAAAATGTCATCCAGAAGGACAGCAATTGTTCTTTTCAGATCCGCTAGGGGAAAAAAATCAGAATAAAATAAACATTAATAGAGCTCTTAATTTTTGTGTTTTTACAGTTTGAAGGAAAGAGGTGGACAACTACTGGGTCATCTAGAGAAAATGTACTAGAGAGAATGCACTCATACTACAAATAGGAAAAACCTATTTTTTTTTTAAGACAGTTTCCCTCTGTCGCCCAGGCTGGAGTGCAGTGGCATGATCTCAGCTCACTGCAGCCTGCACCTCCTTGGTTCCAGTGATTCTCCTGCCTCAGCCTCCTGGGTAGCTGGGATTACAGGCTCCCGCCACCATGCCCAGCTAAGTTTTGTATTTTTAGTGGAGATGGGGTTTTACCATGTTGGCCAGGCTGCTCTTGAACTCCTGACCTCAGGTGATCCGTACTCCTCAGCCTCCCAAAGTGCTAGGATTACAGGTGTGAGCCACTGATCCTGGCCCTAATTTTTAAATCAACAGCATCATTTACAAAGAGTTTCCAAAAGGAATTTTGGAATTGTAAATGTGGGGGAAACTCTCACTTTTCCAGTGCGATATAATAGATTTCAAAGTCTGGTTCAAAATATTAGTCCTGCTGTGAGTAATTCATTTATCTTGAGTTTCTTAAGCAGTTTGTAAAAAATACCACAGACGTGTAATCCCAGCATTTTGGGAGGCTGAGGCGGGCGGATCACGAGGTCAGGAGATCGAGACTATCCTGGCTAACATGGTGAGACCCCGTCTCTACTAAAAATATAAAAAATTAGCCAGGCGTGGTCGCATGCGCCTGTGGTGCCAGCTACCTGTGGAGGCTGAGGCAGGAGAATCCCTTGAACCTGGGAGGCAGAGCTTGCAGCGAGCCAAGATTGCGCCACTGCACTCCAGCCTGGGCAACAGAGCGAGACTCCATCTCGAAAATATAAAAATAAAAAAATAACACAGACTAAGCCGGTAAAGTAAAAAGCTAGCTAAGTAAGAGAGTCCATGAAATACAGAAATAGAGAACCTCTACAGGGGTGGAGTTGTGGGGGAGCCTAGGGTCCAGCGCAAATGCCAGGAACCTGTTCAGTGCAGTAGGACACTAGCAGTAGTTCTGACTTAAATTTCCCACAGAAAAAAGGTGGGGAAGACTATATCTTCTAACCTCTTTGTAATGTTATGGAGTTTTAGTAAACTTTACTTGGCAAGAATAAAATTATGAGGCTTTTCTGCCTTAGAATTCTCTTTCTCAGGTTTCCCAAAATCATCTAGCATGTATTAGGTACTCAGTTAGTGACAACGAATACTGTTATTATTGTTGATCATGTACCAAAAAATCAGCCCATGCCCTAATCCAGGATCACCAGGAGAGAAATCATCTAACAACTGATAAATGTGCTGATGGTTCTATCAGAAAACCACAAGCAACAAAAAAGAAAATAAATTGAACTTCACCGACATTTAAAACTTTTGTGCATAAAAGGACATTAATCAAGAAAATGAAAAGACAACCTATAGAAGGGGAAAAAACATTTGCAAACCATATACATGATAAAGATCTACTATCCAGAATATATAAAGATCTCTTACAATTCATGAACAAAAAGATCAATCAAGTTTTAAAATGGGCAAAGGACTTGAATAGACACTCTCAAAAGAAGATATGCAAATGGCCAATAAGTACATGAAAAGATGTTCAACATCACTGGCCACTACGGAAATACAAACCAAAACTCAATGAGATGCCATTTCACACTTACTAGGATAGCTGTCACCAAAGAAATGAAAAATAAGTGTTGGCAAGGATGCAGAGAAACTGAAACCCTCACACATTAGTGGTGGGAATATAAAATGGTACAGCTGCTGTAGAAAATAGTTTGTCAGTTCCTCAAAAACTTAAACATAAAATTGCCATATGACCCAGGAATTCCACTCCTAGGTATATACCCAAAAAAAAAAAAAAAAAAAAAAAAAAATCAAAAGCAAGGACTCAGAGCTCAGAGGGATACTTATACACCAATGTTCATTTCAGGTTTATTTGCAACAGTCAAAAAGTAGAAACAACTCAAGTGTCCATCAACAGATAAACGGATAAACAAAATGTGGTATATATGTAAACACAATGGAATATTATTCAGCCAGAAAAAGGAATGACATTCTGATACATGCTATAACACAGATGAACCTTGAAAACGTTATGGTAAGTGAAATAAGCCAGACACAAATCATATATTGTACAATTCCACTTATACAGAATATGTAGAATAGGTATATGTATACAAACAGAAAGTAGACTACAGGTTATCAAGGACCAGGGGAAGGAAGGAATAAAGATTTATTGCTCAGATGTTACAGATTTCTTGTTTGGAGTGGTACAAGTTTTGGAAAGATACAGTAGTGATGGCTGCACAACACTGTGAATATAATGAATATTGATGAACTGCATATTTTAAAAACAATTTTTTTTTTTGAGACAGAGTTAAACTCTTGTTGCCGAGGCTGGAGTGCAATGGCTCGATCTTGGCTCATCACAACCTCCACCTCCCAGGTACAAGTGATTCTCCTGCCTCAGCCTCCTGAGCAGCTGAGATTACAGGCATGTGCCACCATGCCTGGCTAATTCTGTATTATTAGTAGAGGTGGGGTTTCTCCATGTTGGTCAGGCTGGCCTCAAACTCCCAACCTCAGGTGAGCCACCCACCTCGGCCTCCCAAAGTGCTGGGATTACAGATGTGAGCCACCGTGCCCCGCCCCTGATTTTTTTTTTTTTTTTTTTTTTTTTTTTTGAGATGGAGTCTCACTCTGTCACCCAGGCTGGAGTGCACTGGAGCAATTTCGGATCACTGCAACCTCCACCTCCCAGGTTCAAGTGATTCTCCTGTCTCAGCCTCCTGAGTAGCTGGGATTACAGACATGCGCCACCATGGCCAGCTAATTTTTGTATTTTTAGTAGAGACAGGGTTTCACCATGTTGGCCAGGCTGGTCTCTGGTCTCAAACTCCTGACTTCAGGTGATCCGCCCGCCTCGGCCTCCCAAAGTGTTGGGATTACAGGTGTGAGCCACTGCAGCCAGCCTTAAAAATTATTTTAATGGCAAATTTTATGTTATCAATATTTTACAACTGTTTAGAAGTGGGAAAAAAAGGTATCAGAAAGGAGTAGTTCTACGATAGTGGTTGTGATAGAGGGTGATAAAAAATACTTATCAAAAAATAGAAATGTAATATAAAGTGAGGGGGAAACTATTTGGAGCAAGTTTTATGCTAAAATGAGATTTTCCAAGCAGTGCATCTCTGGCATCATTCATCATGAACACTTCAACATTCTAGTTTAAAGGGAATATACAAGAAAAACATTTACAAAAATCCTTCAGCAAGAAGTACCCAGGAACGAAATATCATGACATATACTTCTTTCAGATGGTACCAAAAAGAAATAAACATAGATATTTGTATATATAAAGAGGATTGGGCACGGTGGCTCACGCCTGTAATCCCAGCACTTTGGGCGGACGAGGCGGGGTGAATCACTTGAGGTCAGGCATTCAAGACCAGCCTGGACACCATGGCCAACACGGTAAAACCCCATCTCTACTAAAATACAAAAAACTTAGCCCAGGCGTGGTGGCATATGTCTGTAGTCCCAGCTACTCGGGAGGTTGAAGCAGAAGAACTGCGTGAACCCAGGAGGTGGAGGTTGCAGTGAGCTGAGATCGCGCCACTGCACTCCAGCCTGGGCGACAGAGCAAGACTCCATCTCAAAAAAAGAAAAGAAAAAGCAGACATTAAAAAAAAAAAAAGGTTAGCCAATTGTGAGCATAGATGAAAGATATATGATGTTTACCATACAATTTTTACATTTCTTCTGTAGAGTTGAAAATTTTCAAAATGAAACACTGGGAGAGGGGACATTTATTTATTAATACCTTTCAATCAAGAGTTGCAATAGTCTTTGGTAAACAGGAGATAATCATATTTTTTAAAACTCTTCAGCAGTTAAGACTAAATCATAAATCCTGGATCTCCTTTTCCATGGCAATCACCTCCTTTATAATACTAAAAGAAGTAGCAACCTAAAATGGGCAGGCAGGGGACAGTCTTAACACATTAATGAAATGAAGCTAAAGACCTTGGAGGTTTGACATTAAACTGAGGTGTGAGAATTATAAAGGTACAGTCTAATCACTTATTTCAGTCAGGGTTAGAAACTGGCAATTAAAGGAAAAGTTAGGATAAATGAGAAACAACTATATGATAACTTTACGATGTTCTAAATTATTATTAAATATAGAACTTTAAAATTTTCTAAAATCGACTGTTACAGTATTATAAAAAAAAGAGACAAAGAGGACTATATCTACCTTCCTCCATGATATAAAATCACTTAGTTGAATTTGGAGTTCTTTCAAATACACCAAACATCTTCCTTTCTCTACATTCACAATACAATTTTATGTTTACATGTCATGAGACAACATCTTTAAGGGAATTATATGCTTGTATTAATATTATATGTGCATCTATAATACTTTCCCCCATAAAGCTCCATCACTGAAGGTGCTAGCAGTAAGAACCCCTTCCCTATCTTAGACCTTGAACCCCTAAAAGCAACTTGGAAATAGAGATCCTGTCATAGCTATCCTTTTAGGGTGCTTCATCACACAGTAGACACTCGACAAATGTTTGAAATGAACATTTGCTGAAGGTCTAATTCACATGTTTGGTAGGTAGCATCATCACTGAGATAGAAATGAAGGATCCAATTTAGAAAATAAACCACTTTAAGGTTACTCTGTTTCTACTTTAACTTCCTTATTCTGGGAGAAGATCAAATAGTTTAAGAAGGGGAAAAAAATCACATAAAAACATAAACCTAGCCTGATTATTTCATAGCACACAAAAATCAAAAGAAGGGTATATGATGCTATTAAATATGCTAAAGATGCTGGGTATAAAAACATTCTAACTATGCTAAACATAATCAGTGATTGTAAGGCACAGCAGGAAGCCACTATCATCCCTTGAACTATGGAACAGAGGG